AGGGAAATTCCAGCATAACTTAATTAATCACCAAACTTACTTGATCAAATTAAGAGTTAATGATTAAAAATAATTTTTTAATCGCGGTTACCATTAACTGTTTAGTCGGATTAAAATTAATCATGATTAACTGTAATCAGATTGAATTTAATCGAATTAACTAACTAATTAAAACATCAATCGATTAATGCCACATATATCACTATACCAAGTTTCAGTTCCCTCCCACAGATACTTCGAGAGATATGTATGTAATATGAAAATTCCAATTTGTATGGGAGGGGCCTTGAGTTATCGGACTTGCTTTCAGTCTAAGACCATCCTTCCGAAATCCGTAGTAAGTGTACTAAATTTCGCTCTGATCGGAAAACCGGTTAAGGAAGTAGCCTATTTTTCAATCCAGGTCATAAACCATCTTTGAGCAAAATTTCATTTTCAAGCAGGTGGCAATTCTTAAAAAAGTAGCCTATTTTCCAGTCTAGGTCATAAGCTATCTGTGTGCAAACTTTCATGCAAATCAGTTCAGTCATTTCCACGTATTAATTTAATTAAACTTTCCTAATACGTGATAACTCTTAAAATAGTAGCCTATTTTCCAACATAGGTCATAAGCTATCTCTGTGCGAAATGTCATGCAAATCTGTTCAGTCGTTTCCGCGTATTAATTTAATTAAAACTTTTTTAACAGGTGGCAACTATTCCAAAAAATTTGCCTATTTTCCACTGTTTTGCGCTATCTGCTTGCAAAATTTCATGCAAATCCGTTCAGGCTTTTCCGCGTATTAATTTAATTAAACTTTTTTAGCAGGTGGTAACTCTTAAAAAAGTAGCCTATTTTTCAACCTAGCTCATAAGCTATCTGTGTAAAAACTTCCATGCAAATCAGTTCTCTCATTTCCGCGTATTAATTAAATTAAACATTTCTAGCAGGTGGCAACTCTTAAAACCTAGGTCATAAGCTATCTGTGTGCAAAATTTCATGCAAATCCGTTTAGTCGTTTCCGCGTATTAATGTAACTAAACTTTTTTAACAGGTGGCAACTCTTCCAAAAAATTAGCCTATTTTCCACTGTAGGTCATAAGCCATCTGCATGCAAAATTTCATGCAAATCCATTTAGTCGGTTCCGCGTATTAATTTAATGAAACTTTTTTAACAGGTGGCAACTCTTAAGAAAAGTAGCCTATTTTCCAACCTAGGTTATAGGCTATCTGTGTGCAAATTTTCATGCAAATCCATTCAGTCGTTCCCGCATATTAAATAAATGAAACTTTTTTAGCAGGTGGCAACTCTTAAAAAAATTAGCCTATTAACCAATCTGGCCCATAAGCTATCTGCGTACAAAATTTCATGCAAATCCGTGTAGTCGTTTCCGCGTGATGATTTCCCAAACATCCAAACATACAAACTTTTCATTTATAATATTTATATAAGATAAGATGTATGTATAAAAACGTAAGGAACATACAATACATATGTATATGTCAGTCTTTCTTAGTTTAAAAATTCATCTCTTGCATATATGCAAAAAAAAAAATACGTCAAATTAAGCATATACAACTTTTTCATGCCCAGTATGAATAAATTCTCCAAAGGGCTAAAAAAATGGCTAGGGGCAATTTTAAATTTATGTGGCCAAAAAAAGTAT